TATTGGGATGGTATTATGTGTTAGGCTGGAAACCAAAAGTAGACCCTAAGTGTCAAAGATAATGCTTTTTGGAGTTAAAATGATGGAAGCCTAAGAAGAATATCCCTATTTCTTGTGTTTCTGTGTAATGAGATTTCAGAGAGCTCCAAGGAAGTGTAACCGGGAGCCTGTGTGCTCTGGGAGCACCGAGGGTAGATGTCTCAAGAATGATAGGAAATCTGTAGAACCTAACTCTGACCAAAATATATATATGAAGAAGGAAAATTACAAAAAAGAGGTTTTGCTTGACCGTGTACACTTAAAAAAGTTCTATATTCAATTAAGGCATAAATGAGGTAGAAAGAAAAAGCATATATCCAAGGATGGTAAGAACAGGAGGGCAAAGAGCTATGAGATGCTGTCAGAAGAAAAATGTTAGAATGATTTGCGGTTTGTAAAAAGTGTAAAAAATGAAACAGGCTTTTTAAACCTGTTTAACCTGTTTTTCTGAGAGAAAACAAGAAAGGGATCAACTAAGTACTTAGGGAGAATGAAGTCATTCATTCATGCAGTTATCCAATAAGCTTCTATGAAGTGCCCACTGTTCACCTGGTCTCGTACAAGCACGAAGCTGCAGAGCCCAAATCTCACCCTCAATGAAGAGAAAATGAAAAATTAGAAGTAACAGTTACTCATAAATGAGTGCTTACCATGACATAGGCACTGTTTTAAGTAATTTCCATACATTAGCCATTCAATCCTATGTGCAATTCTTTGTGTAGGGAGTAATATTATTTCCATTTTACAGATAAGAGCTCTGATGTAGAGAGAGGTTGGCTCAATTGCTCAATATCACACAATTTATATAGGAGAGGCAGAGCTTAAATCCAAGGTATTAGCCTGTAAAATTCACAAATGTCTTATCAGAAACTCTTGGAGCCAGATATATTTTAGAATTCGGAACTTTTTTGGACTTTAGAAAATATAAGACAACATATACACTTTTATTTCATAATATCCTTGGAATAGTCTGAGGCAGTGATTATGATAAATTTAATAGTTTTTAGTGAAACATATCAGTTTAATACTAAATGGGATAAAAAATAAAGGTTGTAAACCCCATAATTCAGGTTAAGATTTGTGGTCAAATGAGTAGAATGTGTATTAATATAAGTTTATAGGAAGAAAGAGAAAGAAAAAAATAAAGACAGAGAGAGAGAGAGAGAGAGAGAGAGAGAGGGAAGGAGGAAGAAGGAAGGAAAGAAGACAGAGAAAGAGAAAAGGGAACAAGAGAGTGAGAGAAAGGGAGGGTGGTAGGAAGGGAGAGAAGAAGAAAGAAAACTTAGTTTTTTGTTTCTTTTCAATTTTGGAGCCACAGAGAAAGGACTGAGGACGTATGTCTCATATAAATCACAGAGGGATAAAACAGGAATGAAGTTCAAATATTTAACAAGAGTATAGCTGGGCACTGGCCAATCAGAATGAGTCTGGAAACTAGCACTGGGGAGGGATCTTATAGATCTCCTTCCATGTTAAGATTTAATATGTTAGCTGCTATATTTTGTGAAAGTCCAAAAATACTAGAGATGGGGATTGGAGTTGGCTGGCTCCCGAGTCCATGTGCAAAACCACCAAGGTACATCATACTCTACTGTAAGTATAGCTTATATCGTAGGCTTCACACATCACTCCTCACACTGCACCAAAGATCTGAACCTGCGACCAGGTCTTGTTCATTCCCATATGCTCTGCATGGTGCCCAGATCATAGTAGGTGCATTATAAATAGTTGTTACTCTGTTAGTACTTGAGATAACGCCTGAAGGATTCTGGACAGTTCGAAGTGGAAAATAGGATTCTAAAAAGAGTGCATGTGAGCAAAGGCAGTGAAATCTTTGGCAGCAACTCCTTTTGTGATTTCTTCTTCACTACCAAGGAAAATGATTTTCAAATTGAATGTGGTAGAACTAACAGGGATTGTAAACTCAGAACATTTCATGGGCCAGTCCAGTAGCACAAGTGGGTGAAAATGCTAGGTTAGGAAAATACAAGCTTAGTAAGGACTCAGTGGACAGAAGAGTGGGTGTCTACCCAGTGACATTCCCACGGAGACTTTGTCAAGCACCAGCTTTGCTTGGAATAATTTAGGGGTGAGATGATTTAAAAAAAGAGTGTTCAGGGGCTTAGAAAAAAATCCAAGTCAGAAAAATGATGAACAGATAGGACAATTTTTGATCCTATTGTTGTAGACAAATGGGAAAAAATCCAGAATATGGAACATGGATAATTGATGTACTCATAACCAGAAAAGGGAGAAAAGTTGGATTCCTGAGCCTACAAATCAATGAGTCTGACTTCAATTACTGGGAAAGTTCTAGTAGAGATTTAATAGATAATTTATGAGCAATTAGCAAAGGAAATGGAAATAATTGGAAGGCCCTCTAGATTCCTTAAAAATAGGAGTTATTCTGAACAAAATATATTTCATTCTTTGATAAGAGCTCTCCAGACTAGCAAATCATTGTTTTAAGACCTCATGTGGCTGAGATGGAGAACTCTGAGATAGATCTGTAGCTAAGAAATCTTGACATCTGTCCTCTGTCCTGGGGAAGTCCTACAAAGAGTATTATGTTGAAGTCAAAGAAGCTAGCCTACGAGGGGACACTGAGTAATGGGAGCTCATCAAGAGGATTATTATTTATCTGCATATTGACTTATCAAAACTGCAACCATATCAGTATGTAGAGTAATCAGTATATTTGGCCTAGGAAAGACAAGAGTGGGGAGGAGGGATAAAATGCTAACTTTAAAAGCCATAAGGTGTATTATGTAGAAGAAGAATAAGGTGTAAATAAATATATTACAGACTACCTTACAAGATAATCAGATTACAGGTGCTGGTCTCCCATGGCTATTGGGGGGAAAATATATGTGTATATATATATTTTCTCATATATATATATGAGAAAATGCAATAGTTTTTCAACTATGGTACCTGGAATCTAACTCAGCTCTTTCTTCATGGTTCTGGGAACTAGGGGAAGATAGTGTTATTTATCCCATTAAATTCCATTGCATATTGTAGGGTTCTAAGTGGGAAGAGCAAGAATCTGCAGGTTTGAAATAGTATTTCAGCCTGAAGTACTATATTCTTCAAGTGTCATGTAGCGATTGCCTCCTCCTGAAGAATTTAATCTTCTTCATGAGGTTGACTCAATTTGACTTGTTGGTTTGTACTAAAAATCTGTTATTTTCTGGTTGATAGTCAAATCTATTAAACTGACAGAACTTTAAATGTAGTATGCAAATACTTTCCATCAATACATTACCAGAAGTTTGGTGTACAAGTAGACAGCAATTTTCAATCATAAGAATGTGCACATTTTCCTGTCATTTACAGCAGCAGCCACCATGCAGGTCATTTTATAAACCACTTAAATACTCGGTACAAAAAAAAATTTATCAGTACACGTTCCATGTCAGGTAACACTGACAGGAAATATTTCCAATGGTGCCTTTTCTGAGAGAACTCAAAGAGCCTACCTCTATAGAATTAAAAGCAAAACTTCACCCAAGCTGACTTGTGTCTCTACCAATTCTAGAATGGAAGGGTAATTAAAACTTAGAAGTATCCTTTATATGTCAGGCACTATCCTACCTATTAATCCTAACAATTTTTATAGTATTTTATTAAATACATATTTATCTGCATATTGACTTATCAAAAAATATTTCAGTAGTCTGTGAAACAGGTATGTTTATAATTTTGTAGACAAAGGTACCAAGGTTCTAACTGTAGGTAGTTTACCCAGTGTTTTTGCTAATAAGTGGAGGGGCCAGGAACTGAACATAGTTTATGCCAAAGTTCTTTGTGCTCTTTCTGCTGTATAGGTATCCTATGGATCAAAAGTAGTACTTTCTTTAAAGACTGAATATAAGACATAAAACCATAAAACTCTTAGAAGAAAACATAGGCAAAAATCTCTTGAACTTAAACATGAGTAATTTTTTTTTAGATATGTCTTCCCAGGCAAGGGAAACAAAAGCAAAAGTAAACAATTGGGACTACATCAAACTAAAAAGCTTCTGTACAGCAAAGGAAACCATCAACAAAACAGAAAGGCAATCTATGGTATGGGAGAATATATCTGATAAGGGGCTAATATCCAAAATATATAAAGAATTTATAAGATTCAACAACAACAACAAAAACCAAATAACCTAATTAAAAAATGGGCAGAGGACTTGAATAGACATTTTTCCAAAAAGACATACAGGTGGCCAACAGGTACATGAAAAAATGCTCTACATCACTAATCATCAGAGAAATGCAAATCAAAATCACAGTGAGATATCACCTCACACCAATCAGAATGACCACTATCCAAAACACAAGAAATAATGTGTTAGTGGAACCCTCCTATACTGCTGGGAAGGTAAACTGGTGCAGCCACTGTGGAAAGCAGTATGGAAGTTCCTCACAAGACTAAAAATAGACATACCATACAATCATACAATTCTAGGAATTTACCTAAAGAAAACAAAATCTCTTATTCCTCTATGCTTATTGCCTCATTATTTACAATAATCAAGATACAAAAACAACCAAAGTGTCCATCAATAGATGAATGGATAAATGTGGTAACATATACACAATGGAATATTATTCAGCCATCAAAAAGAAATAAATCTAGCCATTTGTAACAACATGGATGGATATAGAGGGTATTATGCTGAGTAAAATAAGCCAGTATAATAAGAGAAAGACAAATACTGTGTGATTTCACTTACAAACAGAATCTAAAAACAAAATGAACAAAACAACAATCAGCTCATAGACACTGAGAAGTGACTGGTAGTTACCATGGAGGAGGGGTTGGGGTAGGAAGGTGAAATAGGTGCAGGGATAAAGAATAAATATAAATTAAAAAAATAGTAATAGTAAAATATAAAAAAATCAAATTTAAAGGAAATAGATTTGAAAGTTGAGTTGCTTTTATTTTATTATTTTCATGTGTTTTTCAATATGTGATTTTTTTTTCATCATTCCATTTTTAAGCCAAGTCAGTGAGAAAACTAATTTTCATATACAAGTAAGGTTCAACACTGGGCCTAATCCTTGTCTTTCTCTATGACCAACGGTGGTTAGGAATGGATGTTGGGAAGGAGGTGTGGAAACCAGAGTTCTTACCACTGCTCTTGCTCTCTGGGTAGCAGTTTCTCCATCTGTAAAATAGTGCATTAAACAGATCATTTCTACAGCTTCTCTAGTTCTAAACTTCCATAATTCTTAATTTTTTCACTTTCTTCCCTCAAAATTGAAAGTAACTCTGTATGGGGGCATATCCAGCAGGCACTGCAAAGTGGAATAAATATGACAAATTAAAAATCAAAACCCACAGCAAACTTCTAATTAGGTTCTGGAAGACAAAGGCCTAGATCATAACACATTAAAGAAATGTATTTTCCCCTTGCTACCTCAGGCTTTCTGATTTAGTATAGAAGGATCAAGAGAAGAAATAAGAAATGTCTGGGAAGATTTGATCTGCTTATAATTCTAATCCAATTATAAGCAGAAAATGCCAAATATATCTTCTAAAAGCCCATCATTAGATTCCTTGCTCATTTTTATAACTTTAAGAGTTTAGATAGTTTTGATGTAAATTCTAGACTCTTGGGTACTTTTCATATTCAGCCAACATAAGAAGTAAATATGCAAAACTTTACAAGATCAAAAATCCATCCTCAAGGACACTTAATTGGATTCATTTCTTTTTTTTTCCTCCCTCTCTCTTTTTTTCTTCTTCTTTTGTTTTACATCATATTTTCGAAAAGGATGACCTGCTTTTGTGGTACGATAACAAAGATGCCTGACACAAAGTTGGCATTCAATAAATGCAAAGTATTATTATTCATGCTTTCAACAAATACTTATAAAGTGATAGGCACTGGGAATAAAAATGCTGTACAAAAACAGCCATGCTCATGGACCTTAGAGCTAGTGGAGAAGACATGAACAGTTCAAAGTAAAGGTATATCTTCTGTGAGAAGATACAACAAGGAAGCTAGTCAAGGAGGCCAGGGAAAGCTTTCTTGAAGAGGAGGCAGTAGAGCTGAGAGCTGAAGGATGAGTAAGCAAAGGTAAGAGGCAAGTTTCTGTAAGCAGAGGGAAAAAGCAGGTGCAAAGGCCCTGAAGTGAGAAAGCACATGCTAAGTATGAGAGAAGTAAAGAAGATTGCTCTAGAAAAAGCAATGTAGAGGCATATTGTTAGATGAAACTGGAGATATAAGCAAAGGCCATGCCATTGAAAGCTTGGTTGGCTGTGTTAAGGAGTTCTGATTTTTATTCTAAGAGGAATGGGAAACTAGGCAAGAATTTTAAGAAATAGGGTGGGTGGAAGAGATGATGTTATAGATTGTTGTTTCTGAATTGATCATTATAAATTACATATTCTTTCTGAGAATTCCTTTAAGGTTTTCCCTCACCTTATTTCCAATTTTTATAATTTACGGGGCATTTTCTATTACAGTCTTTCCAATTAGACACGACTCCCCAAATAAAATTAATCATTATGGTGGGCTTGGATTTAATTCTATACATGAAGAATGCTGATCTAGTCATATGCTCATATTATGCAGCCATAAACACTTTTTTGATGAACAGACTCAGAAACCAGATAGGGTTATCAAACACTGACAGTTCTAAGATACTATATTTCTACTTATATTATTTCTTTTACTAAGAAAGGAATAACAATTTAAAATTAGCTGTTTAATCCTCTAGATCTTAGAAACCAGTAATTCCTATTTTTCTTTTAAATTAAAGGCTCAAATATGACTTTTGCAAGGTAAAATATAGTCTTATGTATTTAATCACTTCTGGAAAGAATCACAAATACTGTACTGGTCACTAAAATTGATTGAGAGAAAAAGGGTCAGAATAACTGGTAAATGAAAACCACTGTCAAGTTCTTGATAATAAGGGTGAATGTAATAACCACATTGTTTTTCTTGTGAAATCTTCATAAGACTGTATGTCAATGATACCTTAATAAAAAAATTAATTTAATTAAATTAACAAGTCAAAAAAAAAGAGAAAACCATTGTCAACTTGGGTTACATGAGATGTGGTTATTTCTGATGAAAATGAAAGTCATGGCTACAATGCTTTAAACAAGGGTTTGGGTTAAACCTTTTAAAATAGAAATATTTTGGTTCTAATATGGTGGCATAAAGTTATCATTTTTCTTTTATCCTGTTGGAAACCCCTCTCACTTGAAGAAATTAGGTAAATGTGAATAAGAAATTTAAGCTCTATATCTGATGAAATTAGGAAAGAGTTGAAACTTTAGCTCAGAAAATGGATTGCAGTGACTGACAACAGTAGTTTGGATCATATGGAGGTTCCTGCAGGAGGATGAACAGGGGAGATCCTTCAGGGGCAGGAATCAGAAAGAGCTATTATTCTTTCCAAGCACAAGGTCAAAACCTAAATACTTGTTCTACTACCACATCTCTCCAGATGGAGACAGGAGTTTCCTCAGACCTAAACTGGTTCTGAAAAGCAAAAGAATTCTTCCCTAGCCACATATAGAAACTTCCTGCAAATAGCGGGTCAGAAAAAGAAAAATTTCTACTTCCAGATGGGTGATCAAAAAGGGACAGATAAGGATACTACAATAAAGAAAATCAGAAAAGGAATTACAAATATGAATATAGAGGAAGAACACTCACCAGAAAAATGTTTCAATGGAATGGATGAAAACTCTGACAAATATTAAACTGTGAATTAAATACTACTATAACTACTACTACTACTAGGATAATTATATCTACAAAGCAAGAACACAAACTAGAATACAGGACCCCAAGGAAGAGAAGGTTAGGAAAGAGGAAATGAAGCATGAGCAACCAGAGACTTGCAAAATAAGTAGAAGAAAAATAAAGCTGAGAAATGAAGGTGAAATTAGAAGGAGCATAAGAGTATAGACATTGCCTAAACATAGCAAGAGATGCTAAGAATGATGTAGGAAAATTAAGTACAATTAAAGGGAAGTGGGTGAAGGAAGAAAGGAAGAGCATGAGAGAGGTAAGGAAAGAAAGAAGGGGAAAAAGGGAAGGAGTTAAGATCGAAAAGAAGAAACTTAAGAGTAGTTATGGACAGGTAAAAAGTCCAACACACACATAACTGGAGTCTCAGAAAAAGTAATTAGACAAATGTTAAAATATATAAAGAATAATTTTCAAATTTAAAAAAAGAATTTAATCTTCCTACTGGAAAAGTACATTATTCCAAGAAAAAAATGACTCCATATGCTTAAAACTAAGAAGTTATTAGAATGCAAAACAAACAATACTTTGGCTCTCCAGGCAAAATGGTAAAGTAAGTAGTAATACTAACTTTATTAATTTAAAATAAATTCAAAAATTAAAAAATCTAAAAAGCCTTAAAATTCTCCAAAATAAACACAAACTATGAAATCCTAAAAATAGAAAGTGTCACTTTATAATCTAAAGCTAGCCAAAATGCCATTCCAGTATAAAAAAAGTCAACAGTTTACAATGCTTAAATGCTTAAAGTTCTTTATAATTCAGAGAATGCTTCCCATGGAAACTCATGAGCGCTACTAAAAAATAAGCTCAAGCAAACTCGGAAATAACGGGAAAGGAGGCAGGAAAGGAGATGGGCCTGCTGCCTGCAGACTGCTCCAGAGGCAGCTGTGAGTCCAGCACTTGACCTGCCACCACTAGAATAAAGTTTGGAATAAACCCTTTTATAAGTAACGTTCAGTTGTTATTCGGTTTCCCTGAATCCAGAATGAACTTGCCTGGGGGCAATTCCTCTCAGGTGAGACAGTCACAAAGAAAACATAAAACTTACTCAAATGGCACATAAGAAAACCAGAAAACAAAATCACCCACACCTGGAAAATTGAAAGCTCTTCCTTTATTAAAGTAAGAGTTAGTAAATTAGAATACAGAATATACAGAGATTTAACAAATAAATACAAAAGAAAGTCTTTAAAAATTCAACAATACACCCACATATAATAAAAGATAAAGTATTAACTAATATATTCAAAAGGAAGGCAGAAACACAGAAAATAAGAAATAATTACAGATACAGAGGAATTTAATCATATTAGCTGACTTTGATCAACAACTTCGCAAATTAATTTGAAAATCTGGTTCAGATGGGTAATTTTCTAGGAAATTAACATACCAAAACTGACTTCAGAAAAGAGAGAAAAATCTAAACTGATAAATTACTACAGAAGAAATACAAAAATTTGTTCAACAGCTTAATCCTCCAATCCTCCAAAAAGAGCCCAAGGCTCACTGGGTTCACAGGGAATGTTCTAAAAAAACTTTTAAAAATAACTAATCTTCATGTATTTTAAATTTCCCAAGACCACAGAAAAGAAAAGAAAGGTTCATAGTTCATATTTTTTTTGTATGTAGTAATGGAAATATTGATGCAGAACCTCAAAAACGGTTGCACAGAAACTACAAAGTAATCAGATTTATGAACATAAATAAACAAAGTTCTTACAAAATATTATTATGGAGAACCAGTAAGCATATTAAAAACAATACACTAGACCAAACGGGGATTGTTTGAGGAATGCAAGATTTATTCTTTATTTGGAAATCTATTACTCTGTTAGTAAGGTCTAAGGAGACAAATCATGATATTATCAAACAGGCTAAAATAAATGTATGAAAAAATTCAGCATCCATTCTTGAGAGAAAATAAAGTCAAAATATATGGGACAATATATTAATCTAGCCTCCTTGCTTTCATCTCTGCCCCTTCCTGTTGATAGTCTATTCTTCACATGTCAACCACAGTGATGGTAAGGAAAGTAAAATCACATTATTCCTATGCTGAAGACCCTCTAATGCTTCTTCATCTCATGCAGAGTGAAAACCAAGTCATCACAATTGCCACAGGCCATCCCCGACCTGCCCCACTGCCTCTCTGGCATCATCTTCGGTCTCTTTCCCTTGTTAACTGCTCAGTCCATCAGGATTCTCTGTTTTCCTTGAATATGCCAGGAACCCTTCTGCTCCAGGCCCTTGGATTTGCTCGGGAAAGTCTCAGCCCACATTGCCATATGGTTTACTCCCTCACTGTCCCTAATTCTTTTTTTTTTCAAATATCACTTTAGGGAGGCCACTCCTGATCTAAACATCTGAACTCTGACACCGTATCCCCCTTGCTT